ATAAAAAATAGATAACAACCTATTCTCAAACCTACTGAATATACATACAAAATTTCATCAAAATTGGTCAAGCCGTTTCGGAGGAGTATGGTAACTAAAACTGTGACACGAGAATTTTATCAGAGATCATTAAATTTTTATAGAAATCAATTAAAAAATTCGCCCAGATTAAAAACACACGAATAATACCCAATCTACGAAATGCCGACGGCAATTTATTATTAGGCATTAAATGAAAATATTCATTGGCTTAGTTCTGAATGTCATGACAGTTTAATTAAAAACGACAAGAACCCTCTCTGTCCATCTAGAAATATGATTTGATGTAGGCGTTTTACATAGAACATTGAATATGAATTTGATACCGTGGGAGTGGTTTGTGGAGAATCAATTTTGATGAAGATAAAATATTCATTATATCCCTGAAATTTTAACCGTAGGAAGTGCTGTAAGATGGAAATATGTTCGGGCGTACACAAACTTAATCCATTATGATACTTTAATAATTGAGCTTACCGAAATAGAATGGGGAAGTAGCATAGATAATAGAGTTGGTTGGCTTGAACCGTATTCACAGCAAAATACGTTAATGGGTAACGGTTTGACCAATATTCTAAGGACACTCTTAACACACTTTAGTTCTGTTGTATTCAGAATGGCGATAGGACGGCCGTTTATAACGAGTTTAAGGCCTTAATGGGTAGCTGCGGGTTGGATGAGTCTACAGCTCATAATTAAATTCAACGTTCACCTGGCAAGCAATTAGTCAATGGATTAAGTGCTCAAACCCTCCAAAGTTAAATAGAACATTCGAAACTTTACATGACCGAATCTAAAATCACYTGAAACTATTCCATATACTTTTGAGTTATTACGCCCTTCAGCAGAAAGTATTTTTCAATTTCCATAAAACACGTGAACGTGGAATGGGGATATCCRGATTAACGGRAATTTWAAATTTCTGCCAAAAGCCAGCAATGTTAATCTCTTTGGTGATTGTTCCAMAAATATCTACCAATTTTATTCATTGAATTTCTGTTATTAATCTCACCGGAATTGATATTTGCATTTTTAAATTGTACTTACCACTCCTGTATTGGGATCTTTGGCTCCATTGCTAAAAGTGCTGGCCAGAGTGCTGGAACAGCTTTCATCATAATGCGCGTTTTGTCCATCATTGATTGCACTATTAATGCTAACAGTCCACATGCTGGCTGCGTAACCATCACAATTGCAATCGTCGTCTTCTCCACCGTCTCCACTAGCCCAAACATAGATGTTTCCAAGACCGTTTCTTCCCTTAATAATAAAACAGCAAGGTTAAATACAATAAAACATCCCTTGGCGATTGAGAAGATAAGAAAAACCAATAGGAAAGATGTTCACATCACAATTAAATCATTAAGTGATTAAAAATGGGAAGTTTTGGAACATTTTAAGGTCAATATTTCGCATTTTTTAAATCTAATTTGGCAACTTTCATATTCAGTCCACCCTATGCTGTCTTCAAATTTACCAAACTATTTTTTGCTTCTTTCAATAGTCTCTTTAATTTACAATTTAAATTATATAGTGTTCTAGTGAAGTTTTATGCTGTTAAGGACATGTTTATACTGACAATTCCTTCATTTTCAACTTTCGAAAGGATTAAAACACAAGTCTTCATTAACGGCAGTAGAGTAGCAAAAACAGCTTAAATGCAACTCAAATTCGGATTTCAACATTAAAGCGATTCGCAGAACGAATGTAATTCAGTTAGTACTTTTACAGAACAATGTAATATTCACAGAAATCACTAGAAAAAAGTAATGAATTAATACGCAAATATTCAAAGATTCTTGAAATTTGCAAGAGACAAAATAAATTATAAATATATCGTATAAATAATTTATAATTAAGCCCGCAAGCGAATTATGGTCCTTTCTGAAGCACCAAAGTTCTTAAGCGTTCTTTCATGAAATATAGAAACAGTTTTTCAAGTTTGGAAAAATATTTATTATAAAAATGATAGATAAATCAACTAAAACGAAGCGAAATAATTTTCAAATGTAATATTTTTAATACACAAATATAACTGATAAAAAATAATCAGGTAAAAAAAACCCTTTCCATTCTAACGATTAAGTTACTACTTCTACTTAGCCGTAACAAAAATAATTACGCCGAAAAACGTCTGAAGGAATGGTGTCGGTGAATGTTTAAGTGAACTGTATTCTTGTATTATTTTCTTCGTGCGCGTCCCTATCTGAGATGGCACTCCCAACACCGACTTAAGTATATGAATGCACCCAACTGACGAATTAATTAAATTAAAATGTATATTGCTCAGAACGTTATTTGTACACACGTCTTGTTTGTTTTTCTTTCAATTACTTTAGTTATTAGAAACAAATACAACTTAAAATAAAAAACTAATTGTCACATCGCCCCCTAGACTAACTTATGTGGTTGGCAGGAGAGACAAATAGATCTTATTTACTCATTTCCCAACAAATGGATTTAGTAAATTTAAAGAATAACGAGTTTCAATTTCTACAATATCACCAGAAATAAATGCATTGCAAATATGAGAAGACTTAATTTAAAGAAAAATATTTGAAATTATAGAGAACTTAAGTTTATTAGAATTAAATATTACACAAAAAAGTAATAAAATCATATTGCTTTTAATATAATAATGATAAAGATTAGGTGGTTAGGAAAGTTGCCGATGTTTTTATTCGAAATCCTATAAAAATTCTGTAGAATGTTTTGAAAAGCAAATTTATATTACCCTACGAAAATAATTAACATATAACGAAAGAAGCACATTAAAACAAAATAACAATATTAAAACACTCTATTTTCAAGAAACACCAAAAACAAACAGCTCGTAGCATAGTTCCAAATGCACATCCTAAAGTTAAATTTCTTTAAATTATTTTAAATGGTCTCACGACCAATGAAGATTGATATATTGAAAATACAGCTCATTTTATTGAAACATTGTT